GCGGAAAATCTTGTGCTGGTGTGCACAGGAGGAGTAGGGACAGCTGCAGGAGCTGGTGGGCATCAGAGCACGCTCCTGGCTGGCAGTCCTGCATCCTCCCCATCCCTCTCTGGGAGCCACGGATCTCCCATCAGATGGTTCTAGCTGCATGAAATATTTCTGGGGTGTTAAGGAATGGAAAGGATGCCCTGTCTCTGAAACCGGGGTGGTGGGGCTGGGTGTGCGGCTCCCCACAGCTGCCTCCGGTGCTCCCACTCCCGGAGCTGGGGGGGTGGCCGCAGGAAACGTCTCTGCAGGGTGGGAACGTGGCCGGGCCGCGCGTTTGGGTTGGCAGCGAGAGCCGCTGACCTGAGTCATCCCGCTCGCAACCTGCCTTTCCAAGAAAGCAGCTCCTCCGGGGAGCCTGGGGCGTGCTCTGCGGTGGGTGCGTCGGCCCTGCCTGCGTCCAGCCCTGCGCTCCCTTGGGGGCTGGATTTATGTCTTCGGGGGCTCTCTCCTCCCCTTCCTCTCAACTTGAGGCTCGGTGGAGGTGTGTCTGGGTGGTCAAAGCCGCTGCCCTGCGCAGGGTTGGGGAGCTTTGGGATGTGGAAGATGTTCCAAAGCTCCCAACACACAGAAAAGACAAAGTTGGGGATGGAGCGGAGAGATGGTCAGGTACCAGGGCACACAAGGGGGGTGCCAGCCCTGTCCCTGTCCCCTCTGGGTGCCACCCTCCACTTTGGGCACAGCCGGAGCCCGTGGGGTGGCAATTCAAACGCCCAAAGCCCACTCGGGTGCTGCTGGGGAAACGCATTTTTGCAACTGGGAAACTGTGTTTCAGCCCAGCCCATGTTTTTTCTTCGTGGTCTGCACTTCGAGAGGGGCAGAGATGGCTCCTGGATGTCCCACGAAGCTCAGAGCTGGCAGCATTTCTGCCGTTTCCCAGGTCCTGCCCCGGCTGGCAGGAATCCCTGCGCTCCCCAGTGTCACCCGCAGAGCAGGGCCAGTGCCACAGCTGTCACCCAGGCTGGGAGCAGAGCTGGCCTCGCAGAGCGGCAAGACCTAGGGCTTTCTGCCGGTGAATTTACGAGCTGCTGGTGTTTGCCTTCCGCAGAGAACACGAGCGGAAAATGCGGCTCGGAAATATTTCCGCAGCTGCCCCGGCCGTGCTGTGAGCTGCCTTGTTCACGGTGGCCCAGCCCGG